GTTTCATCTAGCAGAAATCCCTTCGGGATGGAGACGAAGCTGCCACGCAGAAATCGCTCTGAAGGATCACTACGGGATGTCGGCGCGTGATGCACCGAAACTAACGTAATTAACGCCGGTCCTACGGAGGGCGGACGATAAAGGATGCATGGTAGCATGCTTATGTGGCCATCTCGAACCGGCTTGGACGGATGGAAAAATCTCAAAAGATATTTGTACAGACGGCAGCATAAACAGTGTCCTACACCACCCAGATGTTACGTCCAAAAATGGGTCGTACGCAGCATGCATCTGTCTGCCCAGTCAGAGCCATCGCAGTGGCGATTAGGCCCATCGATCCTTGTCACCCCGTGGACGGTATGCGAATCAGACGTGAACGCTGCGTCTCCGCCCCACAGTCGCTCCGTGACCGCTGCGTCTCCGCCCCACAGTCACTCTGTGACCGCTGCGTCTCCGCCCCACAGTCACTCTGTGACTGCTGCGTCTCCGCCCCACAGTCACTCTGTGACCGCTGCGTCTCCGCCCCACAGTCACTCTGTGACCGCTGCGTCTCCGCCCGCAGTCACTCTGTGACCGCTGCGTCTCCGCCCCACAGTCACTCCGTGACCGCTGCGTCTCCGCCCCACAGTCACTCCGTGACCGCTGCGCCTGTCCGCCCCACAGTCACTCCGTGACCGCTGCGCGTGTCCGCCCCACAGTCACTACTCCGTGACCGCTGCGTCTCCGCCCCACAGTCACTCCTTGTCCCGCTGCGGCGTCACCCTTCATCTGTGTCAGTTTGGCTCGGCTGCCGTCGCTGGCGTCGCTCCGAGGCTCGTCGTCCAGGGCCGGCATGGTGACCACTTGATCCACGACATTGCTGAAACGACAGGGCCATGTGAGCGAGCCAGCTCGGTGCAGTTCGCTATTCTCCCGAGGGTATGTCGGCAGACTGGCGCAAGGATCGGCTTCGTGAGGCCACAGCGGAACGGTAGCGTATGCTCGGTGGCCAGCGAGATTGCCAACTGGATGTTTCTCATTTGGAACATGATCGGAGTGAGATCCACACTGATCCGACCACGTTTCGTCCGGGAAGCCCGTACAACGCAGTACATAGTGGCTAGCGCTTTGGCTAGGCATGCCTGTGAGACGAGCGCACAAGTCGAGGAGCTTTCGCGCGCATAGCGAAGCAAATGACGAGGCAACAATCAAAACAGGTGCTAACGTCTCTGGTCTTCCGGGTATTCTATTTGTTTGCTACGCAACCGCTTCTTCCATTTTTACATTCACTCAGACACGCGCAAAACGCCTCTTACGCTGTCTGCCCAGCACTCCGTGGGCTTCGTGTGTCGCTGTTGTAGCGCTTCCTCAACTGCGTTTAAGCGTGGCAGGATTTTACCTGTCCAGCCACATGAATTGCTTGCTGTGGTGGTAATAGGATCAAAGCTGAGAGATCAGAGCAAGAGAGCCGGAACTAGAGGATAAGAGCAGTGGTGATCAGAGTTCAGAGACCAAAGCAATGGTGATGGGATCAGAGCTCAGAGATCAGATCAGTGGTGATGGGACCAGGCTCAGAGACCAGAGCAGTGGTTATGGGATCAGAGCTCAGAGAGTCAGAGCAGTGGTGATATGATCCGTTTGACTCCTCCACCATCGTGGTCCGGTGAAGACGAGCTGGTGTGACGAGAGACGGATGAGTCGCCCGCAGCAGTGAGGAACCGTCGGTTGTTATCATTTAAGTGATGCCCAGAAACTGAGGTAATCGAGCCAGGTACCTTCGGCAAACGGTAAGCATGTTTTTTATGAATTAACTTGGAAAGCTTAACTTTCCTGAGGGTGTGTTGGGCAAAAAGTTCGCCGGTGCGGCATGTGAACAAATAGACAAATAATGTCGTCGGGAAACGCCCGGCAATGAACTAAGTCAACCTATGCAATCTTGCACTTGGTACTGCTGAGTGTACTTCAAGATAGCGGATTGATCTAGTTAATCTAGTTGCTGTTAAGGTTGAGATAATTTGCGTTAAGAACATACCCTTTGGCAATAGTTTGCGATTTTTGGCTCTTCCGACCAGAGTATTACAAAAAAATAATATTTTGGGCATCTATTCTTTACAACAAGCGGGCCTTCACAGCTCCTTAGTACTCACAGTCCAGCTTACGCCGTTAGTCCCGTCACATCGTAATATTTTCGAGATCAGTTTCCAAAAAGGTGGCATTGCTCGCATACCGGTCGATAACTGACTCATCGATAAATCGGTAGTTTTAAAATTTGGCAATGATTTTATCGGCAAACCAACCCATCGTGTAGTTGGTTTCTTTCTATTGCTCTGGTTGTCTAGACCTGAAATCAACCCTTAAAACCTCCAAAAATGGGCGGTTTTTATCTTGTGCACAATTGCGCGTGCTAATCTCCACATATCCACCCGGACTTTTGAAAGCACGACCTCCCATTTTCTTCGTTGGTACCGGTAAGCCTGTGTCTGCGCAACGTACGGGTCGTCAAAATCTAGATTTGGTTTCGATCCATGGTTTTCAGTATTTTTTAGTTTGCCATTTTGCTTTTCAATGTTAGCTGAACAGTGGAGGCGACACCGTAGCGATATTGCAGGAAAAACCAGACTGATCACACTGTAAATAATTGCCTACATATCATATAGCAGACCTTTTGGGCCATTCCACTGACTGCCGCTCAAAACTGCGTCCACTTGTAATCATGAATTGCGAATTTCTTAGCTTCTGGACAGTGTGGCGGCTAGGTGGGGGCCAGGAAGCCGAAATTGAGAGATTTCCTCATAGTTCGAGTATGTACGCTCGAGGTCTCACTCGTAATACTACTCTACCCTGGCCTACAAAACTCTGGATGACTAGGAGAGTCAGTACATCTCGTTCATTTTAATATGCATTCCAAGAAAAGCTTTTTTTTGTTCGATTTAAGTAAAGAGCAAAAAATCAGCATACACAAACGGGCTTACTTCTTCCAAACTATATTCTGCAATTTTCAAATCGATTCCAATTCTCTTTCCACCGATCGACTTTCCCATCCAATCTAATTCTATACGTGGTCGATGTTTCATTGATCGAGCTTAGTCGATCTAGTCAGTCCAATGTGTGGGAATTGTCCACTCCAAGCTATCTAATAATCCATAATTTGCGTATGCATCTGATCTTTGGAAGACCTCCATACTGAGCGCTGGAACGCATTGAGCCTGACTCTACTAGCTTCATGCACACCCACACCCACACCCACACCCACACACCCACACACCACACACCCCACACACACCCACACCCACACCCACACCCACACACACACCCACACACACACACACACACACAATACATACACATATATATATTATATATATATACATACACATATGTATATATATATATATATATATACATACATATATGTATATATATATATATATATGATATATATATATATATATATATATATATATATAGATACCGAACAAAGCACCGCAGCATGCCTATAAACTGAATGATAATGATGCTTTGAACCCTTCCGTCGACACTTCATTCAGCACTTACTACCTGAGATAAACATTGTATGTACCCCAGAAGTCTTTTCTTGGGCCTCATATAGCATGCTGCGAGTGGTATTAAATTTGCATCGTAGCAATAATATTTGAATACATTTTCTGAGAAGTGATGGAGAACCATTTGTAACTGCGCCTGAAAATTGCAGGCGCGTGACATCTTCGGAGAGCTATGACTGTCCTTCCCTACCTGAAATATTGCTCTGGCATTTGACCACGATCGATCCGCTAGAATGAAGGCGTGCTGAGGAGAGAAGTGGGAACGGAAGGCCCTATTCGAAACACTAATGGGCAAGACAAGCGTCATTATGCTACATGGTGGCGCAAACAACTAAGGTAGTTGACACTTCCTAAAGCCACGTTCAATGGTGGGCAAAAAGTTACGTGGATAGCTTGTGTAGGCTTTTAGTCAGCTGATACAGCAGGCAGTGTGCTTCCCTGAATCGCAAGCAGCCGCATTTCGTGAAGCTCGTTGGCTGGCCTCATCGGCTGAGCTTCGCTTGGAAACAGACGTCACGCTACTAAATACATGATGATGACTCCCGCAGACTGGACAGTCAGCCAGCTCCGGAGTCTGCTGACTCGCCCCCGCCCGCCCCTCGGAAAGAGTGCATGATGCTCCAGGGAGCGTTATCAACGGCTAGCTTTGATTTGACGCCGGCGAGTCTGGTCGCTGCCAGCTCAGACTGGCAACTGTGCGCCATGTCCGGTAACGGCCCGGTAATCTGGGCCAGCGGTGTATATTTCGTCCTGGTCAAAACGCCACTGACGCCATGTCAAGTGGATAAAGTAAGGAGCTTAACTGATCCGCTGGGCTATAACGTTCTGAGCAGGAGTGCAACTTTTCTCATTGCCTTGGCATCAGAGACATGACAAATGCCTTGTAAGATTTTAACAACGGATCACATAATTGAGCTGGAGCTGTGCGGTAGCAATTACAATGTATGGCATGCCTCTGTATAGTTGCGTGCTTTGTCCTGGAATATTAAAATATGAGTGGGGTTCTAAAGGGTTCTAAAATATGTCTCAAACATTTATTCAAGTGTCTACATTCTCTCCGAAACCTTTTTGAGGCTATTCCTTTTATTCGCGGTGGGCGAGATATTTCCGCCTAACAAGGTTTCATTCGGACCGGCGTTGCCTTTCATCGCGGATGAACAAGGTTTGCGTGGGGCGTTGGAGGATAAGAAACCTTTCCCAAAACTCGTGAGCGTAGAGAGCTGTGAAAATGTGCACGATACAAGACGCTCACATCACCCACAGTCGTCGCGTAGCGAAACGCGAACTTCTCCGGGAATTTCATGGGCTGTTTTCACTTTCATTATCAAGAAGCGCTTGCAAGGAGCTTGGGTTTTTTTAACCAAGAGCATACGAGCATGCCCAACCCGCGGCTTACATAGGCACGGTGGCGCCATCAGTGCTAGTTGCTGGAAACTGATCTACTTTCATACAGTTCAGACAGATATTGTTGAATTTCGTATCTGTGCTGCGTTTCCAATGTCTTATCGTCACATGTCGAATATTGGAAATTTTCTGCTGGAAACGAATATAATAAATGGTTGGTAAAAAGGAAGCTATATTCGTTTATCTACACAAAACTACACCACTGCTTCCTCTTTCCCAATCACAACTTAAAAGAGCACTTGGTGGTACTTTAATAAAGCCAACACCAATGTAGGCACGACGACGATAGTGAACTCGAGGTTCGAGTGAGTAAATGATCCTTGTGACCCAGATGCATGGAATACATGAACTGCTTTGTTTTATATAGTTACGTTTTCTCATTGTACCTTACGACAGCGACACCACGGGCAGATGGTCTGAATGGCGGGGGATGAAATGGGCTGCTGAAGATCACGGCTGCACGGCCATTACCTATTCCTTGCACGAACTCTGCAGCCGTAATGCTCAATTGAGGAATCAATATTGTTGGAGTAATGGACCCTGCAAGGAGTTTCATCAACCGTGGTACCTTACAAAAATGAACCTTTTTGTCCAGCACATGACTGACGTTGCACATGTGACGGCTTGGTGTTCAACGCATTCAACAATCCTCAACTTGAACATTTGGAGCAGCCCAGCACCACCAAACACGCAGCGTCAAAATATCGTGAGCGACGATAAGCAGATATAGACATTGGACTGTGGCAATAGCAGGGCACTGTTGCTTATTACTAAAGAGGTACAGGCTCACGAGACAACTAAATCCACCGGATCCCACGGGCGCAACGGAGTGCGATAGGGCCATCCCATTCCATAGAGTGCGATAGGGCCATCCCTTCCATAGAGTGCAATAGGGCCATCCCCTTCCAAAGAG